AAGCCCTCCTTCTCTTAAGTTGCTTCATGTCAGGTTTGGTCACAGTAGCAAGAGAGGTAACTAAAACACAGAATTTTCTAAGCCTTTCATAGACACACACATTTCAAAATTATTTACTGTGCATTTATTCCGATTGATGTTCCTAAATTCTTTAACTGGTTTTAACAGCCATTTGTTCTCTGTATTGCATGTTGTTTGAAACGAACCCACACAGGTACACACGAGACATGTGTGCGTCTCAGAAGCAGTGGGGTGTCACACAGTGGAGAAGTCTGTACCTGTCATCCTGTTGCTTAGATTTGTTGCATGCTGTCCTCGTCCTCTTCCTCCATCCCTCCACTCCAGCAAGCTTTAGCCCTCGTGCCTCCCTGATGCTTCACCCAGAGACTTGGGTGTCCCCTAAGCTCAACTCCATTTTGTATATAATATCCTCACATTGATGCCAACAGGCCAGAACAGTGCCAGGAGGAGGTCTGGCGATGTCCCCAATGGGGCTGATGTGCCGTGCACACAGGCTTTCCTACCACAACTTTCAGTAAGTGCTAATTCCTTGGCTAAAGGGCTTTTTTTTGGCCTTCGTAGTATAGAAAAGTCTTAGGTGATTTTCACACCGCACTGAAGCATAATTACAAGATATTTGGAGAAGCTGGTTGAGGGTTTAGGGTGGACAAGAAATGCATTATGATGTTTCCCATTAAAGCGATGGAGCATTGCTTGCCTTCTGAAACTTGCTCTACGGGAACAGGTCAAGATCAAGTCAGGAGGGGCACTTAGGCATATGAATATGAATGAACAAAAGCAAGGAAGGGCCCTGTGGGGAGTCTGCCAGACTGAGTCCACCTGGCAAAGACCCAGGGCGTTTTGATACATTTCATTGATTTCCTTTGCCCTTAAATCTGCTCACTGAAGCCAAGGTGTACTTTACTTTCTTAGAAACAGGAACAGGGCTTCGCTTAGCAAGAAGTGAGGAGGACACTAAGTGGGTAACTGGATTGGGTGAGGGATGGGAGAGCACTAAGGGAGAGAGAAAAGGATGTTGTATATGTGTGTGTGTGTGCATATGTGTTTGTGTTCGTGTGTGCATGTGCGTGTTTGTGCATGTATGTGTGTATATATATATGTATGTATGTTTATGTATGACAGGAAAGTAGAAGGGAGACTGACAGGGGAGAAAGATCTCTAAAGGAAGGGAGAACTGAAGAAAGGGATGAGGATAGGAAGAAAGACACACTTTCAGACAGGAATGTAGCTAAGTGGTGGAATGCTTGCCTAGCATGTGTAAGGTCGTCCCCCGCATGTCATAAAAGGAGGAGGAGGAAGGCAGTGTAACTCAAAGATGATGTAACTGACTATGGCAAACTGTCTTCTCCCCTATGTCAAGAAGATTTCCCTAGACATATGAAAGCAGAGGAGGAAAGAGGGGATCAGGAGATTGGTGAAAGAGAGGGGAAACTAGTTGGAAGGCTACAAAAATGACACATATGCATGAAAATGTTACAACGAAACTCAACTAAAATACTCACTTAAAAAAAGTAGAACATGGTAGTACATGCTTGTAATCTGATTGCTGGGTCATAGAGGCAGGAGGATCAAGAGTTCAAGGTCATCCCTGTGTATGTAGGAAGTTCAAGACTGAGCTGGTCTACATGAGATTCAGTCTCAAAAAAAAAAAAAAAAAAA